CATGCCTGCATACACACCATCTTAAAATATCAGATTTCAAGACATTCTTGGAAAAAACACAGGTGGAATAGTTTTAACATTTATTCAAGAGCTGATATCCTTATTTCAATGGTACTTAATTAGAGGTTGCCAGAAAAGCAGATTTTTCTGCTCTATAGTGGAAAGGAACACAGGTTCAATTCCTTAATTCTCCTCAACCTCCCAGTGAAATGTCTTCTTAAATATCTTTGTACAGTTAGGCTAAATTGAACTCTCATATTCCACCAAATACATTGACAATAATTTTTTGGTTTATTATACCCATCATATCCAAAATTCAGCTGCATGAAGAATACACTAGATAAGCCAGCAAATATTATTCATGCGATAACCATTGCACATTACAGACATCACCACTGTTTTAGTTCATTGAACTGCTAGTAGCGTAAGCTTAATTTTTAAACAATACTGCATTAATTACATGGTATGTTTGCTGTTATTTCCTACAACCTAACAAAACTATAATGAGTGTTTTATGATACAGACAGATGAGTAACTCTTGCTTTTGTTTACAATTTGTCCTACAAGGTTTTATGAATGTAAAACATTTGAATGCAGGAGAAAGGTACACAGTATTTGAGCGGGATGAAAAAACACTCTAATCAGAGTGAGTTTGTATGGTGTTCTAGAAAAATACATAAGAAAAGATCCAGTATATGCAGCATGCAAACAGTGGCTTGCAATTAAAAGATTTCAAGTACTTTCAACTTCTTTATAAGATGAGTACGTAGGTTCACTAGGGAACCACCAATGACTTTCTGGCCTACTCCCTAGGACCTGCTGGGATTCTTGCAAAGCAAAAGATAAACAACTTGAACTCACCACCTATATATTGCACAAGGCAACATTCTAGCCACACGTGGCTTTTGTTTTGCTTTGGCTAGAAGCTGGGTACTTGCTTGTTGTTGTTGTTGTTAGTTGAGAAGTCATGTCTGACCCATCGCAACCCCATGGACAACATTCCTCCAGGCCTTCCTGTCCTTCACCATCCCCCGGAGTCCATTCAAGCTCACACCAACTGCTTCAGTGACTCCATCTAGCCACCTCATCCTCTGCCGTCCCCTTCTTCTTTTGCCATCTATCGTTCCCAGCATTAGGCTCTTCTCCAGGGAGTCCTTCCTTCTCATTAGGTGGCCAAAGTATTTGAGTTTTGTCTTCAGTATCTGGCCTTCTAAAAAACAGTCGGTTGATCTCCTCTAGGGCTGACTGGTTTGATCGCCTTGCGGTCCAAGGGACTCGCAGGAGACTGCTCCAGCACCACAATTCAAAGGCCTCAATCCTTTGGCACTCAGCCTTCCTTATGGTCCAGCTTTCACAGCCGTACATTGCAACTGGGAAAACCATAGCCTTGACTGTACGCACTTTTGTTGGCAGGGTGGTGTCTCTGCTTTTTAGTATGCTGTCTAGATTTGCCATAGCTTTCCTCCCCAGGAGCAAGCATCTTTAAATTTCTTGGCTGCAGTCCCTGTCAGCGGTGATCTTGGAGCCCAGGAAAATAAAATCTGTCACTACCTCCATTTCTTCCCCATCTATTTGCCAGGAAGTGATAGGACCAATGCCATGATCTTAGTTTTCTTAATGTTGAGTTTCAAGCTAACTTTTGCGCTCTCCTCCTTCACCCGCATCAAGAGGCTCTTTAGTTCCTCTTCACTTTCTGCCATGAGAGTGGCATCATCTGCATATCTGAGGTTGTTGATATTTCTCCCAGCAATCTTAATTCCAACTGGTGATTCATCTAGCCCCACCTTTCTCATGATGTGCTCTGCATATGAGTTAAATAGGCAGGACGATAGTATATAGCCTTGTCGAACTCCTTTCTCAATTTTGTATGAATCAATGGTTCCGTGCCCAGTTCTAACTGTTGCTTCTTGACCCACATATAGGTTTCTCAAGAGACAAATAAGATGGTCTGGTACTCCCATCTCTTTAAGAACTTGCCACAATTTGTCGTGATTCACACAATCAAAGGCTTTAGCATAGTCAATGAAGCAGAAGTAGATGCTTTTCTGGAACTCCCTAGCTTTCTCCATGATCCAGCGTATGTTGGCAATTTGATCTCTAGTTTCTCTCCCTCTTCGAAATCCTGCCTGCATTTCTGGTAGTTCTCGGTCCACATACTGCTGGAGCCTAGCTTGTAGGATTTTATTTATTTATTTATTTATTTATCGATTTATATCCTGCCTTTTTCCTACAAAGGGCTCAAGGCAACTTACATCATTCTCCTCCTCTTATCCCCACAACAACCCTGTGAGGTAGGTTGGGCTGAGAGTCTGTGACTGGCCCAAAATCACCAGCCGGCTCCATGTCTGAGCGGGGACTAGAACCCAGATTGTCTGAGTCCCAGTCTCATGCTCTTAACCACTACACCACACTGGCTCTCCAGTATGGATTTTGATGTAGGATTTTGATGTAGGATCTCTCTATGTAGGATTTTGAGCATAACTTTGCTAGCATGTGAAATGAGTGCAATGGTGCAGTAGTTTGAACATTTTTTGGCATTGCCCTTCTTTGGGATTGGAATGTAAACTGAACTTTTCCAATCCTGTGGCCACTGTTGAGTTTTCCAAATTTGCTGGCATATTGAGTGTAGCACTTTTACTGCATCGTCTTTTAAGATTTTGAATAGCTCAGCTGGAATACTGTCACCTCCACTAGCTTTGTTGTTGCTCAGACTTCCTAAGGCCCATTTGACTTCACATTCCAGGATGTCTGGCTCGAGGTCAGTGACCACCCCATCATCGTTATCAGGGACATTAAGCTCCTTCTTGTATAGTTCCTTTGTGTAATCTTGCCATCTCTTTTTAATCTCTTCTGCCTCTGTTAGGTCCCTGCCATTTTGGCCCTCTATCATGCCCATCTTTGCATGAAATGTTCTCTTCATATCTCCAATTTTCTTGAAGAGATCTCTGGTTCTCTCTATTCTATTGTTTTCTTCTACTTCTTTGCACTGTTCCTTTAAGAAGGCATTCTTATCTCTTCTAGGTATTCTCTGGAATTCTGGGTACTTGCTTAGCAGGACAGAATTGTCTAGAAATGGCACCTGCCTCTACCACCATGTCCGATTTTGAGATTGGAAAGGGATCAGAAGTTATGCATTAATTGTGTGAAGTGGGCTCAGTGGGATTAATGGAAAACAGGACTAAGCTGCTGCCCCCTCTTTTCATGCTGCTCAGCTTTTATGGCCCCACCACTCACATCCACACATTGACTGTGGGTGCCACCTCGAAAAATACACTTTCCAACCATTTTGCAGCCCCTGTCACACAGGCTGTGTGCCTATGCATAGGTCTCCCCACAAGCCAGGGCCAAGAAAACCACATGCATGGCAGGGGGCAGAAGCACAGCCCTGCTTCTGTTTCACTGGTTAGTTGGGGCTTTGCTGTGGACAGAATGTGTGTTCTCTTGCACTATGACAGCTTTAAAGGAACCGATTAAACAAATTCAAATTTGGCATGGGACTTTGACATGTCTAGAGGCTGTATATGTCTGATTGCCAGATGCTCATCATTATGTTCTTGTAGACTTTCCAAAGGCACATGTCTGGCCACTATGAGGAGACAAAATGCGCTATCTTCATCTAACTCACAAGGTTATATGCTCTTAATGTGCACACTCAGGATCATTTAACATAGTTTTGTTACTCATTTACTATGAAGAAATAAAGGGCTGGATCCAGAGAAGCCAGATATGGTTTCTATTTGTGTAACAATGTTTTTCTGCCCCTTCCTCCCCTCTACAACTTCCTGCATCTCCTGAAAATCTACTCGAGGCTTGAGAGATCCTCCAAAATTGTATGGGATAGGTAGAGCAGGATGGGTGTCGCAAGAAGGAAAAACCTGCCCAAATTCAGATTTATCAGGCACCGTTGGATCTAACACACAGAAGATACATGTCTTTGCTAATTTGAACACATTTGGGTGATGTAAAAAGAAAAGAAAAATGACCCCACATGTTTTAAGTCTGTCTACTCTAATCTATATTTCTGCCATTTTCTTATGGCCCTGTGCTATCCATCAACTTTAGTTCAGTTTGTTACAGTTTTTGTCTGTATTACTTGGTGTGGTGATTAGAGTTTTAGACTGCAAACCTGGGAGATTTGAGTTCTAGTCCTCACTTGGCCACTCTCAGTCTAACCTACCCTACAGGGTTGTTGTTGTAAGAATGAATTGGAACTGTATAAGCCACCTTGGGTTCCCCATAAAAAGGAAAAAGCAGGGTATAAATGCCATCTAAGAACAATTGCAACTACAACACAACTGTAATATGGGGGCAGGGGTGTTGCCAAACAAGGAAGTTCTGTTGTTCTTGCCAGTTTAAAGTATGGAGTAAAACTCAAAGAACCTCAAAATGATATCTGCAACTGCACTTTCAGCTGCTTCTCCTCCAACTCCCATTTCTCCTGAATATCCACCCATGGGAGATACACATCCAACACAAAGGGACTACATGCAGCCAGAGGAAAAAAATCTGTAAAGTTCTATGAGCAAGCATTAGAGCTTTAAATGCATGTACACAGGGCATTTCAGATCCCAGCCATGTTCTAGTTGCAGTGCTGAGGTGATCATAGCATTAAAAAAACAAGGATGCTGAGTTTGGACACCATCTCCAATTATACCTTATAAACAAAGCTCAGTTAACTGAAAATGGTTGCACAATCAAAATTCATCTCCCATGAATTCTGCTTCCTTAAAAGGTAATAAATCAATGAAAACCAATCAAAATCCACCTCCCATGAACGTTGCTTCCCTTAGTTTCCTTAAAGCTAAAGTAAAGTAAAGCCATCACAGGTGTTGTCATTAATACTGAATACTGCTGACTTAAGCATCATGTTTTCTGTATGATCCATAACTCCTTGAATAAACAGGAAATTACATTTTAATTATGAATGTTCTTTCTGTCTTTCCTTCCTTCTTTTCACAATAGCACATAGAATTGCCAATAAAATGACCAAGCAGACTCACCAAGCTCATTGAGGCTCTGAGCAGCTTTTGTTATCTCTCGGCTTCCTCCCTGCAGCTGCCCTTGAAGCCTCTTGCTGAGATACAAGATGCGTATTATTCTCCGCAGCAAGTCACAGGCAGCCTTGATAGGAAGACACAGTTTAAGGATAGATCCAATATGTCACATTATTATACAGTTTTAAGTACCAGCTGTGGACACACTGTGCACATTGTCTAGGCTTACAATAAAAGATTGATCATATTACAGTTCAGTTCATAGTTTCATATTGTCTGGCATGTACTGTCCTGGTTTAAAATAGTAGCTGAATGCAATACTAACTTATTAAAGAATATACCGAACATCTCTTAAAAGCGAATCCATTTATCCTTCCATCAGTCACACCTAATTAAAACTTGTTTTTCTACACAGAATGAACCAAGGCTAAAACATCTGGCTTTCTGAAGTGCAACACTGTAAAACAGCACACAGTTAGTTATGAACTATATTTAGATCATGATCCAAACAACAAGGACATGTAGACCCAGTACATCTGGAACACCAGACAAGGGATAAGAAACATCTGGCTCATAGGGAATTTGGCCTGCCTGGCCCATTCCTACAGGACCTCATACAAGTGAAGAGAGGAACTGAGTGGCCCAAGAAGCAGGCTTAGACCTGAGGTCAGGGCCCAGGCAGCTCCTGGAAGTACCAACTGGGTGCATTTCACTCATTCTTTCCCTTTCCCATGTGAGAACAGTGATGGATGAGTAAAGCCAGCTGTACACTTGGCCAGTGCATCTAGGAGCTGCCTGAGCCCCAACCGCAGGACTCTGCTGCTTTCAGTTGTTTTGGATTCTGGGCTATGCTATCAGCTCATATGCAGATTTTGGCACACATCAGTAAGTGACCATGTGATTAGCAATTGGAGGAGCAGTTGAATTTGGGAGGGAGGTTGAAGCTCAGATTTGGATTTGTTCAGACTGCTGCAAGGTATGGGAGAAGCTAAAAAAAAGGCAGCTCGAAGATATTGAGGCATGCGCTTCATCAAAAATAGCCTAGTGACAAATTTAATAAGAGTTTACTGTATTCTATAACATGCACTGCAGACATTATGATCGTTAACATTTTAACTATTGACTGAGAGCCAGTATGGTGGTTAGTGTTGGACTGAGGATCAAGGTTCCAGCCCCCTCTCAGCCATGAAATTCACTGAGTGAATTTGGGCCAGTTAGTCATCCTCAGCTCACCCTACCTCACAGGGTTGTTGCTGTGAGGATAAAATGGAGCTATGTAAGCCACCCTGGGGTCCCCTCACAAAAGGCAGAATACACATGCAACAATAAAAACAACATAATCTGTTGAAAACCCTATTTGTGCTATTGAAAAACATAAGCACATGCAGATTTTTGTATTTCACACAAAATTAAACATTTTTGAAAGTTGTAGACAAAGCCTAAAAGATGGTTAACTAACATAAGCTCTTACCAGATCTAATAACTAAAGGTATTAGAATTTAAAAAATTTATAAGTGCTAAAACATGGCAAGTAGGTTAAGCAAAGCAAAATTATTAGGGCAAAACTACTACTAGAGAACAGACACTGCAACTGATACATTTGAGCTGCTCAATTTTTAAAAATGTGTTAAGACTGATATACAAGTCACAATTGTGCCAAATCCAAAGAAGAAGATTGTTATGCTTTACTCGCTCTGCACCCCTGAAACAGCACTATCAATGTAATCATTCAAGTACTTCCCTACTACTGCAACATACCTTTGTGCACATCATCAAGTGGGCTTTATAGTTTTAAAAAATGGACTAACAGGAAACACATGGAATTAAGGTTCCAAAGGGGTAGCTTAATACTTTTGTGTATTCTCTTTCCTTACTCCACAATGTGGACAAAGAAGGACTGGTTACTACTATGGTTAAAAAAGTCAGAATTATACCCACAAATACAGTAAAATGCCATGTGGGCATAAACCTATGCTACCAGAAATATTTGATTTATATCCCACTTTTTTCTTTTTTAGCAAACTCAAACCAACATACATTAATCTCCTCCTGCTGCTCTCAACCTTATCTGCACAACAACAACTCTGTGAGGTATGTTGAGCTAAGTCTGTGACTGACCCAAAGTCTCCTAGTTGGCTCCATGTCCAAGCAGGGACTAAAACCCAGATCACCAATGTCCCAGCTCTGCACTCTTAGTCACTATACCACACTGGCTCTTTTAAAGCTGAAAATTAGTTTTGAACTACCTGGGACACTTTGTTATAAAAAAAACCAAGCATCAGTGAAAATGTACTGTTAATTTGACAATCAGTTTTTACAACAATATGTCACGCAAACAGATTTAAAGTAATGTTTGCAATGGCAAGTATCTTTTCATATCTGATTTCCCAAGGTCCTGAAATATAGCATCTTTGTTTAACTACAATTGGGAATCAGGGAAAAACAGACACCTAACACTAAAGGTGCCACTGAGAAAACCTCAGCTAAGGTAACCCCATTAAAATCCTTGACTGAAACGAGCAATGATACAGAGGGAATACTTTGCAACATTCAGGGGTGCACCTTTCAAATCCGTAATGAGAAACTCCGCTCTGCTTATATTTATTTTGCTCTTTACATGGCTTTTTGAAGTATTCAGTAGACATATTCAATGGATTCAATTATTTATTCTGGGAGTGTTTCCCCCTCCAACCTGTAACCATAGCAACATTCTTCATCCAGCCAGAAGAAAGACTACACGGTTATCTCTGGCCAACGTTAATTCTTGCTCATATATCAGCTCACATGTTGAAGATGCAGTGTCCAAAATGCCTCCTATATAACATCTCCTGTTTTCATAATTATCACATGCCTTTCTATACAAAATTTTCAATTTTAGAGTATAAGTAGATAAAGAGCCTTCTGAAATACTATTTTGCATGCAAAAGAAATCTATTTCTGGAGAACAGTAGAAGACAGACATAATGTAACTTACCTGAAGTCTTGCTAACTGTGCCGTGCGAGATACTATTTTGTTGTATGGATCAATAATTTTGCCTCTGATTCTAATGAAATATGAAATATGTTTTAGGATTCATGGTAGTACACAAGTATCTGGAACTTCTGGTGACAATATACAGATGACATACCTGTCAACAGTACTTTGCAGGGCAGTAATTCTGGTCTGCATCATTTCAAGAACACCTGCATAAGAGATGGTTAAACAGAGAAAAACAAAATTTCAGCAGCAGAGACCTGCCATAAAATGAACTTAATATGAACTTAAAATGATAGAAAGAGCTTCAAAATATTTTAATCTTTAATAATGTTCCCACATTTCCACTATGCAACAAACTTTGTTGCTCTTATCACATTTGCATCATCAACCTATACTTTTACTCATGCAGGTCCCTAGCAAATCAATGGGATCTACTTTTTCCTAAGTATGTTCGGTATTACAGCTTTACAGAGCAACCTTCTACATGCCTAGCCATGATGACTTCAGTAGGACTTACTCCCAGGTACATGTTACGGGATTGCAATTTTAATCATGCAACCAACTTTGTTAGGGAGGTCAACTGAAGAAACGGTGATTCCACCAATATTCCCTAGTAAGATTAACCTCAGAATGGGAATTTGAATCCCTATGTCCCATATCCTAACCCAAACCTGTATCTAAAAGCTTACTGACTCTTTAGCCAACTAAAGCCTGAGGCCACTTACTCAAAAGTACCTAGTGCTGTTGACAATTTGGTAACTATTAATAGTATTGTGCTATGTTTATAAGGGCTTTAGAATCTATTATTTCCTAGAAAAATCAATCAAGCCCATTACACAATCAGTTCTAAGGGAAAATATGATAAGCAGTTCAAGGCATACTGGGAATATTGATTGCTCTACTGTTATGACTTACTGTACATGGACTCAACAATCAACACCACCAAGCCGCTTTTCTTTACTCCAAAAATACCAGTGTTCTCTGGAGGACATAGCCAAATATGCTGTCAGGAAATCAATTGATTTTTATCATTCTTACAGCCCACTTCAAAAGCCATTCACTCAAAAGCCAGCTGCAGAGAATTCAGATAAATATGCTTAGGACTACAGCCTAACAATCTGTATTCACAAATATCTATGGGCATGGCAACCCACTTTTGCCATGAGTTACAGTGGACAAGCCATGGGACACTGGACCTAAGTCTGGGCTCATCACAGAATGTTGCCCCTCCCTCCCATTAATTCCTCCCCCAGGCAGGCCCATGACAGGATCCAATGGTCTCTCCTCTCCACACAGCAATATGTACTTGCAATTTCTTTTCTTTCTTTTTTGGTCCCTTTAACTTTTTTTTTTTTTGAGATTGTGAAAAGTGAATTCCAATTTTGCAGCTAGTGAAAATGCCTTCAAAGCACCCAAGCAGCCCACTGGACAGGCTGTCACTGGTTTATCACCTGTCAAGAGTTGGTTTCTCACCCACCTCCCTTTTTCCTTCCAAGCAGATCAAGAGGAGAAGCTACTAACTACAATCTTAGGAGTATTGCAGAGAACTTAAGCAATGTCTTTTGCTAATGACAAGTCAAAGAGTAAAAAAAAGAAAGTACACCTCAAATAAGTTGATTTCAAACTGAATTCCATTTCTTTCACAACCAGAGTTAACTCCACCCTCAGGGAGGTTCCAACTACTCGTGGGTCAGTTAGCAGGAATGCCAGAAATTACTCAATTGTCCAACTTTTTGACCTGGTGACAGACAGATTAAATTATCTTTCTCCTTTTCAGGCTCCTTGTTGTGAGCAGGTCCCTCCTACCCTCTTTTCCTCTTCAGCAGACTTTGACAAGACTTTAGAAACAGAGTCTTTTTATTAGAGCCTAGTAAGCTACAAAACAGTATAAATCAAGTAGCGATCTCTTTGAGATATCAGAGAAGCATCTGCCCATGTGACGAGTTAAATCCAAAATGAAACATTCCCTTCTCCCTTCTCTTTCAAAACAGACTGTGACATAGCTCTAGCTGCTTGAAGGCTAGATGGCAGGAATGACAGGCACTTCTTAATTGGTCTGATTGCTTTGCCAGGTGTCCCTAATTACAGGGTCAGGGAAAGCCCTCTCAATTTCCTCCCCACCTTGGTTCTGAAATGTCTCCCTCCTAAGGTGGGAGGCTGGTTCTTACGCTCTGAGAATCTTCACCAGGTAACCCTGAAAAGGCGAAGTCCTCTTGTCCACTCTGCCCTCCTGCCTCCTCCTCACTGGATGAAGCTCTCTGAGCAGACTGTAACATGATGGGGGGGGTGTCCCCTCACTACATTCTGCATGTTCAACAGTGTCTCCCCACAAACCAGCTGTGATCTAGCTCTCAACCAGCCACTTGGCTTATCTCAGGGCTTGTCAGCCTTGGTATTTCAGCCAAGAATTACAACCCCACCTCTTCTTCCCATCTAGATTCAGAGTTTGAGGTAACCAAGCCAGAATGATGTCTTTTCAGAGAAACAGGCTCAGTTCTCTACACTTTTTGGAAGTTTCTGAAAAAGGTTTGACTTGGATTCATGGAAGGGCATACTTTCATGAGTCTGAAATGGTATGCCTCACACCTCAGCAAGGAACAGGGAGGTGTCTGCTGTCAAAGAACCCTCATGTCTGACAATGCCCTTTGGGCAGAAAGACACATGGGAAGTTCTGTCAAAAAAGACTGTTAAAAGGAGTTGGAGATTTGGCGGCTAGCTGTCAAACTGACCAGTCCTATAAAAAAACTGACAGCTCCTGTAAAAAAATGGGGGGGGGGGGGTAGCTCACAATTTTCCATGTTCCTAAGCACATTCATTAGGGTTGCTTGTTGCACTATGAAAAAAGAGAGCCCCCTAGACATTGCCAATGTGAAGTATACCATTTCAGGCCTGTACAAATAGGCATGTGTGCAAATCCCACCTAAATAATCCCTCCAAAATACACACATTGACACACCATTTACTGGGTTAATGAACTAATGTGCTACTTGTGTACTTTAAAGGTCTTGTCACAACCTGTAAAATTGTAGATCACTTTTTGCAATCTCCAAAAAAGGAAGGAAGGAAGGAAAAATAAGGGAAAAGAAAAAAAATGGTAAAAGGAGCAAAATAGATGTAGAGCACACAACAGTGTTCATGATCATAGGGAAGAGGTATGCAGTCAGGGCAATGATCCCACAGTTCCATCTGGGCAATTTTCAAGTAGCTGGCCAAAGAAATGGCAAAGGTAGGAAGGATTTTTTGTCACTGTTGCCAAGAAGCTTGCTTGTCAGTTTGGATGACAAAATATTTTTATCATGGGTACAACAGTCCCAACTACAAGCCATGGATTGTCAGGGTGAATTGTTGCCCATGAACAAGTCCCCTTGCAGAAAACGCTCTAAATTTACATGACATGACAACCCACTGTGGTTTGTCACTCATAACAGGTTTTCAAATGAGAGTGAAAGAAAAGCCCAATGAAAAAAACCTCAAGGTAATATGAAGTTATGCAGACAAGTGAGTTAAATACTTGTGCAATGAGGACGTAAATGCTATCTTTTTCATTTAAGTAATCCTTTAAAAATCAGCAGCTGAAACTGAAACAAGGGCACTGCAAAGCAAACTAAATCTCAGGAAGGCAATCCCTTAGGAACTTACAGTTCAGAAGAAAATATCCTGTAGAAATAAATGTGCAATACTTGCCGCTTTTCTCTAACAGAAAAGCTTTGGGTAGCTGCACCTTAACCCAGAGTAAACCCAAGTTTGGAAAGGGGCAAAAAGAATATATAGCTAAATGGGTGTCATTTTGCTCATGTCTGACTTGTGGGCTTCCCAAAAACATTTTACTGGTGACTATAGGAACAGATACTGGACTGAATAGACCTTTGGTCTGATCTAGTAGGGTTCTTCTTATGTTCTGTATGAGGGATGTTGAATCTCAAGTCCAGAGGCAAAATCCAGCCCCTCTCAGGTCAAATTTGCTCCCTAGGGTTCCTTAGATGGCCCTTCCCCTGGCCACTTAGAAGGGGCCCATTCCTTGGGGGATGGACAGACATCTTCTCACACTGCAGATGCACCTCCAGGGACCAGGTTGCTGCTTACACGAGGTGATTCAATCACTGAACACATAGACAACAACAATGATAAGAAGCAAACAGTTCACATGGTGATCTGCCTGCCTTGTGTGAAGCTTGCAGATGACACAAGGGTAGATGGCACTGCTAGAATTAATGGTTGTTATGCATATCTAGAAATATCACCCCACCAGTCCAAAATGCTTGAAATGGAAAATAAAATCAGGAAAGCATTCAAAGTATTCAGTGTTGTAACAGGTAACTTCAGTTACCCTCATATTATCTAAGCAGATGCACATTCTGGTCACAACAAAGAGGTAAATTCCTGGCTTAAATGACTGCACTTTAGGACAACAAGCCACAGAACCACCCAAAGAGGAGGCAACTTTGACTTAATCTTAAGTAACGCCAAGAACAAGTAAGTCTTCTCAAATCAACAAAAGACTCAAATCTAAATAAATATGTGAGTAGAAAATTGCCAAGGAAGTCCAGATCAATCACATCTGACTACAAAAAGGAAACTTCTGTAAAATCAGATTACTAAAAAAAGCAGCTGAAAGAAATGAATCTCTTCAGAAGATGTGGGAGTTATTTAAAGCCATAATAATAGAATCTCAGGCAGAATGTATACCCCAGGTCCAGTATGTATAACCCATCGAGTCCTACAAGTGACTGCCAAACATTCCATCCTTCAATACTTGGACCATTGAATTAACTTGTATTTACAAACGCAAGTCTATAGAGACCAAGGAATTTGGCCTTTATTGTGTGATTTACTATGCTTGTAAATCCCACTGATTTTGACAAATCTATAATTATAATATTAGACATACTGCATAAAACTAGCTCATGAAGAGTTAATTGTTATGAGCCATCAAGTATTTCCCTTTCACAATTCTCCAAGAAATATAATCCCACTACTTAAACACCTTCTCTTTTCATCACATTTCTCATTTAATAATTTAGAATTCATTATGTGCTGTCAAGTCATCTGACTTATGGCAATCCTATGAATGAATGCTTTCCAAAATGTTCCATCTTTGAGAGCCCTGGTCAGCTTTTGTAAGCTTAGGGCTGTGACTTCTATTATGGCACCAAACTACACTGGTACCTTGGCTCATGAACTTAATCCATTCCAGGACTCTGGTCAT